GAGAGCTATGGACTTAGCACCTGTTGTATAAACCCTGACGATGGTGTGACCTTGTGCCTATTCCTTAGGATAAATCCTTAGGAAGGAGTGATAGTTGAATCTTAGGGTAAACCCTAAAGAAATAAATAAGATAATGGGGTTGGGATAATTTGGTTGATTGATTGTTGTTTAAGTATAATAAATTTATTTATTGTGGGTTGAAAACCCTATATGCTCACCAAGCTTCCAAGCGTGACCCACTCAGCTTTTTATGATTACAGGTAGTGGACCCCAAACATAGTCGGATGATGATGATGAGTGATTTTGAATTATAGGCCAATAGTTATAAATAACTGTTGTAAGACTTATAATGTATTGTTTATGCTTTTGATCTGTATCGGAACATGACATCCCGAGGTTTTGATATAAAAGGAAATTATATATTTCTTAAAGAAAGGTTTTGACAAACTTTTATCATGTTTTGTTTTGGGGACCAATTCCGCAACATCTTTTTAAAAAGGTTTCTCTGATTTTATTTTAAAAAGCATAAATTAAATCGGTCTTTTCTGGCCGAGAAATTAGGGGATGTCACAAGTTGGGGAACCATGACCCGACTCGCCGAGTCCTATGAACGACTCGTTGAGTCCCCCAAAGTCCAATTCCATACAGTCGATTTCAGTCGGGCTTATTGCATTCAAAGCATAGATCTGGCCTCCTAGGTTCGATATAACACGTAAAGTTACAAACTTTACGTGCATGCATGGGTGTTATGAAGCTAAAACACCAAAACTAAGTCATAAAGGAGTTCTAATGCATGGGATAGGGCCATAGCTCAATAAAGGGTGGCAACTTTGAGCTTCCTGAGCTCAAATGTTCCCAGATCTGAAGTCATCACTCTCATATTCGATCAAATCCCGAAAGTGACTTAGAAATGTCCCAAAAATGACAAGATGCAAGCCCTAAAAAAGATCTAAGCGATGGAAAGCCAAGGTTGAAGCTTTTTACCTCAAATAAACTGGAAATGCAACCAAAAACTCTGGATCTACTGCCTTCTTCTTGAACCTCCAAGCCTTTCCTTCCTTCTCCAAGCTTCAAATCACGGGAACTGGGCGTTACATAATTTGTTTATTTATTTAATAGCATTATCAAGATATCCTTTGGTTGTAACTTCTTACTCACAATATTCACTTGGTTTAGAAAGAAAATACCATGTTTAGTTCTTTCGAATATACTTAGCCATTTTCTATCACACTTCTCCAAATTTGATAAAGTTCTTGTGCATATAGCTATAGAAAACCGTCTACCAAATTTATCGTAGGGACTATACATAATACTATTATCTCTTTTGGGACCTTTCTCGACCAAAAGTTTAATCTCATCAGAATTAAGTTTTTCTCACCTTCTTGGATCATATATATCAACAAGCTCTTTAACAAGCTCTTGCTCTTCTACCTCTTCTACTTCTACATGCTCTTGATCTTCAAGATGCTCTTCAATGTGCTCTTCAACATGCTCTTCAACAGGTTGTCTATGGATAAACTTATCTAAACCGATGTCAACATTTCTCTTTTCTTCATCTAGTTTTCTTTTTTTACATTTTTGATAACAGGATGGTTGTTTAGACTTCATCACTACATGTTCATTAGTTTCAACTTTCAAGTTTTCAACTTTCAACATTTAAGCAATTACAATAAACATAATTTAAAAATATGAGAATCAGATAACCTGATTTCTGATGAACAAGATTTATGATAGACAATTTTACAATAAACATAAACTCATAATTTAATTTCAGTTTCTAATAGTCTATTTAATAATTATTATTCATTCATTAAACATTCTATAATCTAATTGATTCATATTTCAAAATAATTTAAGATTTTCTGATATAGTGAAATCTTTCAAGTATGCAATTGACAATTATTAAACTGATAATCTATTAATCATATTTTAGAATAAAACTATTAAATTGATAATCTATTATCTATGAATCATTCAAGTATGCAATTGACAGTTATAAACTGATAATCCTCAATTTCTCATAAATCATAAGAATCACTAAATATAATCTATGAATCATTCAAGTATGCAATTGACAACTATATTTACCTCGTTGGTTGGTTAGTAGGGGATAAGAATCACCGAATATAATCGACTTTCAAAGTTTCACCCTTGCTGTTGGCCTGTTCGCTATTCGCGCTAAGACACACTTATCGTTTTTTTTGAACGACGATATCATCATACGAACATGATGCTTTTGTTCGTCGAATTCCTTCTCCCGTACGTGAGATGACTAATGAATGATGATACCGGATTGCTTTACATTTGGATTGGGTTGAAAACTATATATACTACTAAAAAAATTGGACCCTTTAAAATTAGGGAAAATGACTTATATGGGTAACTATGTTTCAAAATTGTTCAAAAAATACCATTCAAGTTTGGTGTGTCCAAAAAACACCATCCAAGTAAAGCATTTGTATAAAAAACACCAACGAAGTACATTCTTTGTTCAAATTTGACCTTTGGTAACCGACAATTACCGGTAAAAAATAAGTAAAGAAAAAAAAACAATAGGAAATGACTCAAAGAGGTAACTATGTTTCAAAATCGTTTAAAAAACACCATCCAAGTTTGGTATGTTCAAAAAACACCATCCAAGTAAACTTTTTGCACAAAAAACACCAACAAACTATATGTTTTGTTCAAATATTACCCACCGGTAATTGGTTCTTACAGGTTAAATGATAACTTGGCTTAACTATTATGACATGGCATAATAATGATTGACAAAACAATAAATGATATATTCCTCCTTTAAAAACCGATTTAGGGTTTCTTCATGAATGAATGACTTCTTCTTCTCCTATGAAGCCTCTGCGATCTGGATTTTATGCAAGTACGCCCGACGTACTCCTACGTACGCCCATCGTACTCGGCTAGGCTCAAGAACCGCCAATCTTCTGAAGGCCATAACCCTCGGTATGGCCGTCTGATGCCTAAATTAGCTCCCGTAGATATAAAGAATGACGAAATCACACTTAAAATGAAGAAGTTATGGCCTTCGGAAGATTGGCGGTTCTTGACCCTAGCCGAGTACGTTGGGCGTACGCTAGGAGTACGCCGGGCATACTGGCTCGACATTCGGATATGATGGGACTATGCACAAACTTGTTTAAGTTAGGCCTCGGGCCCACCTGATTGTAGCAGGTCATTTTTTGGCTAAGGCCATGTTGGGGGTTCTTGGGCCATATTAGGCCTTAGATGCCTTGTAGTTGGATGCCTTTTTGGGCTTTTTATGGATTTGGGCCTTAGGTGGAGGGAGGTCCATTGAGGCAGGGGTAAAGGAGCCCTTTTTGCCTTAAGTTAAGAATTAGGGTTTTAGACTTGAGTTCGAGATCATCACTTTAGAAGAAGACGAGCAATCATAGGAGAAGAATAAGTCATTCGTTCATGAAGAAACCCTAAATCGGTTTTTAAAGGAGGAATATATCATTTATTGTTTTGTCAATCATTATTATGCCATGTCATAATAGTTAAGCCAAGTTATCATTTAACCTATAAGAACCAGTTACCGGTGGGTAATATTTGAACAAAACATATAGTTTGTTGGTGTTTTTTTGTACAAAAAGTTTACTTGGATGGTGTGTTTTGAACATACCAAACTTGGATGGGGTTTTTTGAACGATTTTGAAACATAGTTACCTCTTTGAGTCATTTTCCTATTGTTTTTTTTCCTTTACTTATTTTTTACCGGTAATTGCCGGTTACCAAAGGTCAAATTTGAACAAAGAATGTACTTCGTTGGTGTTTTTTGTACAAATGCTTTACTTGGATGGTGTTTTTTGGACACACCAAACTTGAATGGTATTTTTTGAACGATTTTGAAACATAGTTACCCATATAAGTCGTTTTCCCTTAAAATTATAGGACCTGTTCCAATGCCCACCTTGTAGCTGCACATGGTCTAAACCGGGACTGCTTTTTATCTATGTTCATGGATATAAAACAATGTTTTATTTAAAATATAAATCAACCAAAAGCAACTATGAAACAACAAAAATAGGCAAACAAGTACAGGCGGTCAGGCGCTGATGAGAAGTGATGAGTCCAGGATGCTATTAAGCCCGCTATCTGCCGTTAAAGCCCAAATAGCGCCGTAGTGTCGCTACGCCAGCGATAGCGAGCTGAGCTCTAATGGCCGCTATTGCCAACTATACTTTGACTTGCTACCCTAAAAACCTTCAAGCTTGATTATCCTATTCTTTATCTCGTATCAACACCAAATGACGATACAAAATTCTTCATGATTTCTACGAAAATTTGAAAACATTTTAGTTTAGTTTACAAGCAAAGTTCTCAACATAAATCGAAAGTGTTGAATTTAATTGTTTAGTGGTAATTCGCGTATCTTCTTCTTTGGTTTATGATTAGATTACAGAGTTCATTGTGAAATAATTTCCGTTCTGAATCGATCACATTCCGGAGAATATCTTATTTTAGGTGAATATGAAGTTTTACCTGTGTACATTTTGTTGATTTTAGCTGATTGGGCGTATTGTAATTAATTCGTTCCTTTATCTGTGCGGATGGATTTTAATTCGAATTAAAGTGGTAGGAACTCGAAGAAGGATTCGCGAAAAATGGCACCTCTATTCTATCTTTAGCTTTACCATCGGAAACAGGTCGGGTTCTCAGTATTCAGTCTCACACTGTTCAGGTTCGTTTTGCTATTCGTCCCCTTCCACCGTTTGACTGCAAATTTGTTTGACTTATTGGAAATTGGCATTAGATTATCGCTTTTCCATGTTCGATCAAAATCAGGAAATTAGTTACAGTGATTTTGATGACAACTGTTACTTTGTGTATAACACTTTACATGTTCATTATCTTTAATGAAACAATTCTTAATCATCCTTTGATCATACATCTTGATTTTCTAAATTTGCTCTCTCTCTCTCTCTCTCTCTAGGGTTATGTTGGCAATAAATCGGCCGTCTTTCCACTCCAACTACTAGGTTATGATGTTGATCCGATTATGTCAGTGCAATTCTCAAATCATACAGGCAAGTTTCTTTTATCTACTTCATCAAATCAAAACATAGTGAGGGTCATTTTTTTCAATTTAAATCTATCCATGGCTTAACAACAAAAGAATTTTGTAGGATACCCAACTTTCAAGGGGCAAGTTCTAAATGGAAAACAACTTTGGGAGTTGATAGAAGGCCTAGAAGCCAATAATCTACTATACTACACACATCTATTGACAGGTATTTGACTATTTTCTATCTTTTTTCTAATACAAAAAAGCATTTTATTTAACAAGACTACTTAGAAGAAGAATTATGATTTGATGGTTTTGTTGATGCATTTACAAATTACAATTACAGGTTACATTGGTTCAATTTCTTTCTTGGATAATGTGTTAGAAGTAGTTAAAAAGCTTCGATCCATCAATACTACACTTACATATGGTAAGTTATTAAGGATATGTTTTCTTTTTTTGTAAAGTATATTTATATTTTCTTATCTTTCTGTGTTTTCCATTGTTAGTTTGTGATCCAGTTATGGGTGATGAAGGAAAGTTGTATGCCCCTCAAGAATTGGTGTTTGTATATCGTGAAAAGGTAACATCTTGATATATATTTTGAAATAATAAGTTTGATTATTTATATATAATGATTATCATCCCTTTTTGTAATTCTTGTTTAGGTTGTCCCTGTTGCTTCAATGTTGATTCCCATTCAGTTTGAAGCTGAACAATTGACTGGATTCAGGTACTTTTATTATTTTTTTTCCCAAAAAAGACCTTGCACTTTTTTAGTTTTTTTCCGAAATAACCTTAAGTTTTTAATCTGAAAAGCAACAATATATAAAGATCTTTTATGATATCAACCCTTTGATATATTTATCCACCTTTTGTAGAATTGCATCTGAGGAAGATGGGCGAGAAGCATGCAAACATCTTCATGCAGTTGGTCCATCAAAGGTTCTCTCTCTCACTCTACAATTTTTTTTCATTATTTATTTTCTTTAATTTTTTTTTTTCTCAGGTTGTGATAACAAGCATATCCATAGATGTCAATCTTCTTCTAATCGGAAGTCATCAGAAAGTAAAGGTACACATTCTACTAATCTTTTTATTTTTAACTTTCTTTTTTGTTTTGTTAATATTCAAATTCATTACTCTAATATGACTTCTAAATATGATAGGATCAATCTCCTGTGCAATTCAAGATTGTCATTGTAACGCCCGTAGATCCGGGCTATTCAATTTAGAGACGATAAGCATCAAAAATGACTTTTTGATGGAAGATTATTTAGAGGGATTAATCTTAACTAAGTTGTAGTATATGTTACAAGGATTCCGTACATATAAAGAACGCCGAAATCCGAGTTATAACGAAGAAGTTATGACATGTCGAAGTTTCGCGATAGAACCGGCACGACACAGCGCGACGTAAATAGTGAATTTACGTTAGAGCGATATTTGGCCTTAGCGATCTAAATGAAAGTCGTAGAATACGTTAAACCGAGAGCGTGCATAAAAAGAACGTCTAAATCTGACTTCGTATGAGGAAGTTATGATTTTTCGAAGTTTCAGCATTAGCAGTATGCAGCCCGAAGTTCGAATATGAGATCGAGTGATTTCTAGCCGAAACGATCTAAATGAGAATCGAAGATCTCATCGATAGTAGTCCAACGGTAAAAAGACAGACGAAAACGGACATCAGACGAAGAAGTTATGGATTTCTAACGGAGTTTTCCTGTCCCGGCCTACTAAAAATAATATAATAAAAATATAATAAAAATAGATTCAAAATTAGCCGATGGAGTCTAACCGAGAGTTGTAGAGCGTAATCTCACCTACGCGTGCATATAAAGAACATCAAAAACGGAGTTTGTATGCGAAAGTTATGAATTTCTGAAGTTCGGGGCGCAAAACCCCAAAACTGTCAGAGTTCACGACGTGAATACAGTGTTCACGACGTGAACTCAGTATTTATGACTTCTGGAGCATGACAGACGCAAGTTGCGATGACGCACCTGATGACTATTGAACTCACGACGTGAATATTTGAGATTCACGACGTGAATCCAGAAAAATGGCCCTATAAATATAATTCAAGGGGCAACCGAGTTTGGTTGCTCAATCTCTTCTCTCCCACTCCCGATACCCTCTCTAAGCCCTATTTTAACCCCCCGAAGCCCCGGTATCATCCCGAGACACGAAGCAAGTCACGAAGCCTGAAGATCCCGAGAAGAAAAGAGTTTCCGAGCCGAAGCTCTGCCCGCGAGAAGTCCGGTGTGTGAAGATCTTCCAGTTTTACCGAAGAATACTACTTTACGAGCCGTAGTGCTGTCCGAGAATCGTCTAATCAAGTGAGTGTGTAGTTACTTTCTTCTAACACATAGATATGAAGTATTTGCTATGAAATACGTGCTATGTGTTTATACATTGTTTGTTTACTTGAGATGGATGCTGAATGAATGTTTTATACGAGTTTTTAAATAGTTTTAAACTGTATATGTAATTTATATCTACAAATATGTTGGGTAGAACATGGGTAGATGAAATAGTTGGTGTGTGATGAAATAATGTGATAAGAGATACGTGAGGATATAATGGTGATGATAATTAGGTGATGATAGATAGGTGATGAATTACGAGTCCAGGCGATGTTGTGGCTACGTATTCTTGTGATGATAGTCTAACCCTTATTATGAATTACGAGTCCAGGCGATGTTGTGGCTGCGTATTCATGCGATGATAGTCTAACCCTTATTATGATTTACGAGTCCAGGCGATGTTGTGGCTACGTATTCACGCGATGATAGTCTAACCCTTATTATGAATTACGAGTCCAGGCGATGTTGTGGCTGTGTATTCATGCGATGATAGTCTAACCCTTATTATGATTTACGAGTCCAGGCGATGTTGTGGCTGCGTAATCATGCGATGATACCCTAACCCTTACTAGACACATATTGAGGGAGTGATCCCCGAATTAGTATTGTCTATGCGATGTAGGCGATGATCCTTAGGAAAAGTTCTTAGGAACAAACATATAAGGAAATAAGATGTAAGGAGATGAGAAGTAAATATGATATAGGAGATGACCCTTAGGATAATATCTTTAGGGAAGATTAAATGAATATAATGGGGATGGCTAATTGGGTTGATTGTTTGATGATTAAATATAATAATTATATTATTGTGGGTTGAAAACCCTATACGCTCACCAAGCTCCCACGCCTGACCCACTCAGTTTTCTTTGCATTACAGGTAATGGCACAAGAGTATAAGTTGGTGGACTTGACGAGAGATTTTGGATTATAGATCAGTAGTTATAAATGACTGTTGTAAGGTCTATTTTATACTGTTTATGCTTTTGGTCTGTATCGGAACATAACATCCCGAGATTTTGTTATTTAATGAAAATACATTTCTTTAAAGAAATGCTTTGATAAATTCTTATCACATTTTGTTTTGGGAACAAATTCCGCAACTCTTTTAATCAAAGGACTACTCTGATTTTATAAAACAAAGCATAAACAAATCGGTCTTTTCTGGCCGTGATTTTGGGGATGTCACAGTTGGTATCAGAGCATTAGTTTAAGCGAACTAGGAATTTGTAGGATTTCTAGACTTAAACTTAGAATGCTAAGCGATGATTGTGAGATGAGTGTCTACCACATTTTTAAGACACGAGCACTAGGATATTTTAGGAAATATGCCTAAAATGGTTTTATGTGCTAAATGTTATATGTTTGCCATATATGATACTATTTGTTCGTATCTATGGTCTGTTGCCAACCGGGTCTGGAAACCTTATGTGTTTAGGATTCGAAGCATACGGCTACGATATTAGAACTAGCATGTAAACGTTTCGGAGTGATAAGGAGATTTATACGTCTATCGTAAATAAAGCTTTCTTATCTTAAATTCTCGCCCGGTGCACCGAACGTCTGCTTGGATGTACAAAGCGTTATGGTGAAGACTCGTAGAGAATTGAGTAAATGGAGGAAATGAGAGGCTTATGATAGTGAATGAAACCTATCGGAAGATATCGTAAGAGTGATATCTTGCCTTAGAATATGTCTGATAAAATAACGGAACGTTTAGAGGAGTACGGTACGTCTGAGGTACACCTTCGATTGGCAGGATGGTGGAACGATTGGTGTAATTCTTGAAGTTGTCCCATCGTCTGGAATTTCCATCACCAACCGAGTTGAAGTAGAATTGATGATTGAAGATACGCATGGAAGAAGTCCTAGTAGAGTCTAGGAAAATTTGTATGATTAATTGGACACATTTGTATGTGTTAAATTGTTTTGTGATTTTAGGACTTGGGGACTGCGAGACAATACTTGGGACGAGTATGAGTAGGTGTGAATAGTAGTAGACATCTATACTACTGGAAGCACAGGACTCACGCTTGGATCAGGGAAAGTCACAAGGTTACCAAGAAGCTAGTGATTGGTCTCGTTTTATTCAAGTATGTCGTTACCATTGTTTCGGTAGTGACTAAGAAGATGATTGATATTCTGACCCTAGCGGTCATATCAAATTGAGTCCGACTACGATGAGTTTGTTACGTGGTTCATAGAACCAAGTTCGAGGTAGCATCTGACTCAAGTCAGAAGATTGAAATCAATGCGATCGATAGCATCGCGCTCGTTGTGAAGGAAGCTTGTAGCTAGAAATGCTACCTGCTAAAATGTGATTATATCACATTAGAACATGAAGGAAGGTTTAGTTTGTTCTGGAATTTGACTCTAAGAGACCTGAGTCTAAGCATTGCATCATACGATGAGGGGTCATTAGAACATGACCCATCGGTCTGTTACAATAGATAAAGGAAAGTACTTATCCTAAGAAGAAGAAGGAGTCCTCAATAAGGATTTATTTTGTAACTCGTAGGTTACGATTGAAAGTCCAACGTAGTACGAAGAGCAGATGCAGGATTGAGCATTACCTGCTATCGAGAAGTCCAAGAGTTAGATACTCTTTCGAGGAAACATAGAACTTACAGTTATTACCTAGGATGAAGAGATAACGTATGGAATCATTATACAAGTCCTATTTCGTTGATGATTCCGGGACGTAATCATCCTAAGGGGGAAATAATTGTAACGCCCGTAGATCCGGGCTATTCAATTTTGAGACGATAAGCATCAAAAATGACTTTTTGATGGAAGATTATTTAGAGGGATTAATCTTAACTAAGTTGTATTATATGTTACAAGGATTCCGTACATATAAAGAACGCCGAAATCCGAGTTATAACGAAGAAGTTATGACCTGTCGAAGTTTCGCGACAGAACCGGCACGACACAGCGCGACGTAAATAGTGAATTTACGTTAGAGCGATATTTGGCCTTAGCGATCTAAATGAAAGTCGTAGAATACGTTAAACCGTGAGCGTGCATAAAAAGAACGTCTAAATCTGACTTCGTATGAGGAAGTTATGATTTTTCGAAGTTTCAGCATTAGCAGTATGCAGCCCGAAGTTCGAATATGAGATCGAGTGATTTCTAGCCGAAATGATCTAACTAAGAATCGAAGATCTCATCGATAGTAGTCCAACGGTAAAAAGACAGACGAAAACGGACGTCAGACGAAGAAGTTATGGATTTCTAACGGAGTTTTCCTGTCCCGGCCTACTAAAAATAATATAATAAAAATATAATAAAAATAAATTCAAAATTAGCCGATGGAGTCTAAACGAGAGTTGTAGAGCGTAATCTCACCTACGCGTGTATATAAAGAACATCGAAAACGGAGTTTGTATACGAAAGTTATGAATTTCTGAAGTTCGGGGCGCGAAACCCCAAAACTGTCAGAGTTTACGACGTGAATACAGTGTTCACGACGTGAACTCAGTATTTATGACTTCTGGAGTATGACAGACGCAACTGATGACTATTGAACTCACTACGTGAATATTTGATATTCACGACGTGAATCCAGAAAAATGGCCCTATAAATAGAATTCAAGGGGCAGCCGAGTTTGGTTGCTCAATCTCTTCTCTCCCACTCCCGATACCCTCTTTAAGCCCTATTTTAACCTCCCGAAGCCCCGGTATCATCCCGAGACACGAAGCAAGTCCCGAAGCCCGAAGATCCCCGAGAAGAAAAGAGTTTCCGAGCCGAAGCTCTGCCTGCGAGAAGCCCGGTGTGTGAAGATCTTCCAGTTTTACCGAAGAATACTACTTTACGAGCCGTAGTGCTGTCCGAGAATCGTCTAATCAAGTGAGTGTGTAGTTACTTTCTTCTAACACATAGATATGAAGTATTTGCTATGAAATACGTGGTATGTGTTTATACATTGTTTGTTTACTTGAGATGAATGCTGAATGAATGTTTTATACGAGTTTTTAAATAGTTTTAAACTGTATATGTAATTTATATCTACAAATATGTTGGGTAGAACA